GCCAACAGCAGCCTGAGTGAAAAGGGGCCGGCCCGGCGTGTTCTCGCGCTCTGAATGATTCGATGCTGATTAACCTGCCGCCCGGCGGCTGTCGGCCGAGGCGCGCGCGCGACCGGGCGGCTCCGCTAGACACCTGGGCGGAGCCCTAATTAAACGGCAACACAGAAACAGGCGCGGGACTCCGACAGCGCGGCGCGAGTACGCCCCGCCAGACTCGTAGTGTGGGCCCGGAGCTACCACGCCCCGCCAGACCCACAGTCAACTGAGAGAGCGTGGGCTGGGCAGGATCATGATCGTCCAGACTCACGGCCAACTGAAAGAGCGTGGACCCGCACGATCCCCCCCCCCCCCCCCCCCCGTCAGACTCGCCGTCAAATGAGAGAGCGTGGGCCCGGCACGATCAACCCTCCCCCCTTCCGTCAGGCTGGCAGTCAACCGAGAGTGTGTGGGCTCGGCACGATCATGCCCAGCCGGACTCGCAGTCAACTGAGAGAGCGTGGACCCGGCACGATCCCTCCCCGCCAGACTCGCAGTCAAGTGAGGGCGACGGCGACGAGCGCCGACAGCCGGCTGGCGTCCGGCGTGGCTGTGTGCCTGGACGATCTGTGCCGCAGGACATGTGGCGGCCGCCCACTTGCGCACTCAACGCAATGGCAGACATGCGGGGTCTGTCGGTCGGGTGGCAGCTGGCTGCCGTGGCCCTCTGCCGGGTCATTACAAGGCGGGACGGGGTGCGGCTAAACACGCCAGGCGCTCCGTGCCGGCCCGCCGTCGGAGCGCTTCAGACGCGTTCGATCGCGGTGGCGCCCGACCATACCGGAATGTCTCGGTCCGCCGGCGGGGTGAGCGTGTTTGGGTCAGCCCGTGTCTGCTCCACCGGCCGCGCCGCTCCCCGTCGGGACTTCGAGCGAGGCCCGGGTCCGGCGCCCCTCCAAGCACCGCCGCCGCCACGGCGGGAGGTGGGGCGCGAGGCCGCCGGCGGCAGGCCCAGCGGCGCCGGGACCTGACGTCGCCTGCTGGAAGCATCAGCGCCACCCCTGACCCGACCGGCTCACCGGCGCCATGGCAAATATTTAGATGGCATTCTGCATATGCATAAGAGGGAGATTAATGAATACGGAATATGGCCGGGCCGGCGACCGGCGATGCGTCCCGTTACGGGTCCGATGCGGCCGCCGCCACCTGGGACGCGCACTGATGTCTCCGGTGTTGATTTTCCACCGGCGTCCGAGGCGTCCGACCGACAGGATATTGGGGTCGATGCAATATCCGGCCTGGTGCCGCTGCCCTGTTTAATGGTGAGACTATTGGGCAATCGCTCATTTCCGGCGGCATTCCGAAAGGTCTCGGAATCCATTTGCAACGTCTCGGTGTGAGCAATATTAATGTGTTGCAAATGCTTTTAGCTCCCACGCTTGGCTGAGTAAGATCTGGAGGTGTGGGGCATAGGACTCCTGATATCCAAGCAAACTAGACAAACCTGGTGTTCGTCCGGCACAATGCAAGGAGCCAAGAGCCCAAAATGCTGTAACCTAGAGAGAGAGAGAGAGAGAGAGAGAGAGAGAGAGAGAGAGAGAGAGAGAAGAGAGAGAGAGATAGAGAGAGAAGAGAGAGAGAGAGAGAGAGAGAGAGAGAGAGAGAGAGAGAGAGAGAGAGAGAGAGAGAGAGAGAGAGAGAGAGAGAGAGAGAGAGAGAGAGAGAGAGAGAGAGAGAGAGAGAGAGAGAGAGAGAGAGAGAGAGAGAGAGAGAGAGAGAGAGAGAGGAGAGAGAGAGAGAGAGAGAGAGAGAGAGAGAGAGAGAGAGAGAGAGAGAGAGAGAGAGAGAGAGAGAGAGAGAGAGAGAGAGAGAGAGAGAGAGAGAGAGAGGAGAGAGAGAGAGAGAGAGAGAGAGAGAGAGAGAGAGAGAGAGAGAGAGAGAAGAGAGAGAGAGAGAGAGAGAGAGAGAGAGAGAGAGAGAGGAGAGAGAGAGAGAGAGAGAGAGAGAGAGAGAGAGAGAGGAGAGAGAGAGAGAGAGAGAGAGAGAGAGAGAGAGAGAGAGAGAGAGAGAGAGAGAGAGAGAGAGAGAGAGAGAGAGAGAGAGAGAGAGAGAGAGAGAGAGAGAGAGAGAGAGAGAGAGAGAGAGAGAGAGAGAGAGAGAGAGAGAGAGAGAGAGAGAGAGAGAGAGAGAGAGAGAGAGAGAGAGAGAGAGAGAGAGAGAGAGAGAGAGAGAGAGAGAGAGAGAGAGAGAGAGAGAGAGAGAGAGAGAGAGAGAGAGAGAGAGAGAGAGAGAGAGAGAGAGAGAGAGAGAGAGAGAGAGAGAGAGAGAGAGAGAGAGAGAGAGAGAGAGAGAGAGAGAGAGAGAGAGGAGAGAGAGAGAGAGAGAGAGAGAGAGAGAGAGAGAGAGAGAGAGAGAGAGAGAGAGAGAGAGAGAGAGAAGAGAGAGAGAGAGAAGAGAGAGAGAGCGAGAGAGAGAGAGAGAGAGAGAGAGAGAGAGAGAGAGAGAGAGAGAGAGAGAGAGAGAGAGAAGAGAGAGTGAGAGAGAGCGGTGGGGGGAGGGGAGAGAGAGAACGTGTTCGTGCTACAGTGGGAGCGTGATACTTTCTACATTACTGGTGCGCCACAGCGAAATGAAGTAAAGTAAGAGGATGCGTTCTTTTTTCCCGTTGCTAGTGCTGTGGCATGACATCAGGTTTATTTCCACGTGAGCTCGGACTGAGGCTCAGTCGGTCTGCCGGGATCACGAATTTGGTTACAATCCGATCTTCGGGAAAAGGGGACATAAGTAACATGACATTCTATTGGTTATATAAAAAGCACCAAAGACTTACAGACCATATCACCACACGTGAAACGGCCAGATAAAAACAAGCTGTGTCAATATAAATAGCCAGACCAAGCGCACAGGACCTGCTGGGAGTTTTCGTCACCTTCTGTGTCGCGTGCTTGGGGTCGATTGTTCCGTGTGATCTATCCGCATGCAACTGCCCCTTGTCCATTATTCTCTCGAAATGTCCCTTATCGCTTGCACCGCCCGGACCACCCGGTGCGACGGCGGCTCGGTATATGGCACGTCCTCGTCACCACCCCGCCCGTCCTCATCCTCCCAGTCCAGCGGACGGCCTCCGGGCCGGGAGACGCCTCTCGCCGCTCGCTGTCGTCCTTGTCGCCGTCGACGTGACTCGCCCCGCCCGCGCCGACGCCGACACGACACCGGCGGCGGCGGCGGCGCCGTGACCGCCCGAGACGTCCGCTAATTGCCGGTCCACGGCGAGGTGGCCGTCGCTGAGCAGATGCAGATGTATGGACGGCGGCCCGCTCGTTTGTCATCTCGGCCGCTTGTCGAGATGTCACCGTGACAACGTGAGAGGCGACCATCGGTCTCCGGCCTGACAGCGGCGAACTCGATACGTGCGGCTTGCGGCGCCCGGCGGGTGGTCGCGCAGCAGCCGCCGCCGCCCCTGCCGCGCCCGCGGCCGCCACCCGTGCCATGAGGGACTGCGCTCGAGCGACCCGCGGCTAGCGCCCCCTTTCATCGGCGCCACGTGAGGCGTGATCCGTGTCATAAGGGACTCCGCGCCAAGGTGAACTGGAGATGCTAACTTCGCCACTTCATGTTGTCAAATGTTATCCGTCTTACGTGTGGTGTAACGTGGCCACCGCCAGGCGATTGGTGTCTGGACTGTTTGTCCGCTCTATGGACGAACTTGTGATGCGAGGACGCTGCCTCCGGTGTGAAGCGTCTAGACTGTGTATTTAGGGTCTTCTGGACCCAGCCCGCGTGCTGGCAGTGTTTCAGCGTCGTTAGTCGCGGTCCATTGGCGCTCTGGAGCACTGGTGCAGTTCTATCTAATCTAACTTCCACTCAACCGTGACGTCAGGTGGACATAAACCCTCCGATACATGACAGAACTCTCCGATTTGTCTCCACAAAATACTAACTTATCTATTGCGCACTCAACCGTAGACTACAGGAATTTCCTTCCACGACTCCGACCACTAACTGACTTCGGACGGCCGGCTCCGCTTCTCGGTCTGTGGCGACGGCTCGGAGACACCGGCGTGGCCCGCACCCCGGCCCTGGGGGCCACCTGACCCCGGCTGACCCCGGGCTTGACCGGCGGCGGGCCTCCACCGGGTCACTCTACGCAGTCTTGGCGCTCAACGACGTAATTAATTATTCGTGGAAGTTAGCGGCCGCGGCTGTTACACAGCTGGCTCAACTGCGGAGGCCGGTTCATGACGGCTTACGAGACGCCCGGTGCAGGCTCCGCCCTGCGGCCGCGGCAAGCGATACCCTCTAACTACCGCCAGCCGAGCTCTGGTACGGAACTGAATGCGTCCAGTTGCGGCGCCTCCGGAGGCGCTGGTAGTTACGGCTTGCACGTGACGCCGGCTGCGGAAAGGTGAGCGGATTTGCGAGCCGGTGAGACGCGCAGCTGCCATCTGGAAGGCAATTTCGTTCCTAGAGACCGTTGGAAGCAACACGATTTAAAATTGTCAGGAAGTGGTGCAGGCTGAGGGCGGGACCTGTCATGAAATTTCCCTACATGCTACGGCAAAGTATCTAGATACCATTGCCAAGCGCGTCATAAGCCGTCATGCGACGTGTGGTATTTTGCCATTTAGCTGCAAAGGTGAACTCGCTCGCTTTTCCTGGTCCCGTGGGAACCTGTGCAGGACGGCTGCGTAAATATTCAGTTGGTGCGCTGAGAGCTGAACGGAGTGTCTAGCTGGGCCTGTCCAGACCACTTCCTGCTCATTAAAGCACTTCAAGAGCAGATGTGACGGATTTGGACCCAAACAATGCCCCCATTACGGCGTGGTCGGCGCACAGGATCGTCCCTTATCTCCATATAATGCATCTCCATCGCAAGAAACACCATGATAATCCGATCACGGCATCCAGCGTAATTGTCCATGAAGGAAACATCTTTGGGAACATCTGCGCGGTCGGCCCAACGCCGGCGAGCTCGGCCCTGAGGCGGCTCCAGGTGCGGCCTCCCCCACCGCCCACAGAGTGGACTGGTCGGCCCGGCCAGCACGGCGCCGTGGTCAGCAGTGCCGGGCGAGGTGCGGTGAGATGTGGAGGGCACGGTCGCCCGCGAGGTGGAGGCGACGGTGACGGAAGTGGTGCTCGAGAGGCAGTGCGGAGAATCGGCCTCCGATAGGTCGGCTTCAAGGAATTGGAGAGAGAGGTCAGTAACAGGCCAGACCCGCGCGAAATGGGATGTTCTGTGCTTTGGTATATTGGTGCGGTGTGAATTCTAACGGAGGCCGTAGTACATCATGATGGCAAAGATGTGCTCTTCAGGCGATCAAACAGAGCGAAAATTTCATACGCCTTTTTCGACATGTTTAAGCACACTACCTGCTCACGAATTTGTACTTTATAAATGTTATTGGAAGCTTCGTTGACAAACCGTTGGCAGAATTTGTGTTCGTATGTCCCAATTTGTTCCATCAGATTTGACAGTTTTCAGAGCACGCATTCAAGGGCGCGAAACGCCTATTGAGTGCTTTGATAAATGGATTAATTACTAACCATTCACGGGCTGATTCTCTGGTAAGCGGTTTATAGGAAGCGACATGACTTGCGTTTCCCTTGATGGGAACAAACTGTTTCCGAGATTATGAGAAGCCCAGGTGTTGCCTTTGAGAATTTGGCCTTTTGTCCCTTTTAAACTTGGATGGCCGACGGAGTGATTAAGCCATTTGTTGGCTGGCTCATTTTGACCGTAATATATCACTTAAAATTAAAATTTCAGCTACCTTGTTCCGTAAACAAACAGCGTAGGCAATTTTCTATAGCTTGTGATGTAACTTGTTCGACTTACCGTTCAGAGCAGGGTTTGGCGCAGAGTCCTTTAATTATAGATATCGTGATGATCGGCTCTGATCAAAAGCAGAATCGCTGCCTTTAAAAAGTGGTGAAAATTATTGGACGTGTGGATTTTAAAAACTTAACCGCGCGTACAAACGTCGCGCTTACGTCATCATGACTGCCGCCTGCTTCGGCACTAAACACGCAAGAGCTACAGCAGACCTTTCTCGCATTATCGCTGCCCTTGCCTGGACGGCTTAGCTGGCTTAGCTGCCTCGGCTAGATGAAACAAAACTCACTCAGATAAGTGTTCGTGACTGCGTTGTGGCAAACGGGAAAACGTGGGTTTCTCCGGACTTCTCATTTCCGATAGAGATACTCATCGGGCATTCTTCAGTCGCCAGGCCCCCCTCCCCTTGCCAATGATCGCTGGACGGTGTGATGGAAAGACGGTGGCTTTTTACAGGCGTGAAGCGACCCAGGACGAATTTCGGCGGCCTCGGGCCGGCCAAACCCGGCAGCCATGGCGGCGAAACCGTCCGGAAAGGACGGACACCGCCTTATGTGCCGGCAGTGGTGGAAAGTGTGCTTTGTGTACGGCGACCAGTACAAATACTACAAACAGCTGTACGGCAAGCGCACCAAGATACAGACGCTCAGGGGCCTTGACCCGCGCGGCGAGGCTGCGATGACAGTACAAGAGTAAGTACCAGCTGCGGCTAATTTTCCGGAAATCGGCTTGCGTAAGCGGTATGCGGACGGTGAGCGGAGATGGTGCGGCTTTGTGTTCCGTGATGGATGGACACACTAATAATCTTGTTACGCAGTCCGCATGCAAAAGTGCGGCGGCCCGTGCTCGACGCGCACCCGCGCTGTATGGAAATTGTCTAATCAGCAGGGTTCCCCAATCAGCGGCGTTGCTCAACAGTCCAATCGGACCGTCCGATCTTGGTCTGGCGGGTCGACCGTGGTGCGCCGGTGACCCTATGCCCTCCGTCCTCACCCCGACCGGCCGCGGCCGTCGTGCCGGTCAGGTGCAGCGGCACTGGGCGCTTACGAGGGCCAGATATTTTTATGGGGCGCCGCCCCGGCCGAGAGACGCTCACTGAGCTCGAGTCGGCGCGCCCGCCGCCGACCGGCCCAGCCCCGGGAAATTATAGTCTGGAAATCACGCCACGCTCATCTGGAGGGCAAACAGCGATGGCGGCTGGACGGCGTGCGCCCTGCGGGCCGCCGGCGCTCGCGGCCGAAACAGAGACGCCGCTCTGCGTGTTTACCGGCCGCGGCCGCTGCGTAAACACGGGCCGACCGGTGCCAGCGATGCCTCGTCACGGTGGAGTCGCTGACTCGCGCCGCTCGGAAAGCCACCGGCACGACCGCGCGATCGCCGGCAGTTTTTGCTCGGCGCGCACGTGCCCAATTGGCCTTGGCTGCTGCTGCGCTCGCACACGGTGATCGCCAATCTACAAATGGGTGGGGCCGGCCGACAGGCGGGCGAGCACGCGGGGCGGCCGACAGTGCGGAGACTGCACTCGGGGAACACGTCGGCATCGGGGAGACTGCAGTGGGCGGTAGGGCGCTAGCACTGGAGCTACGTGAGGTTCCGCCGTGCGCCGGTAATGACTCCCAGCGCCAGTGGAGTTGCACGGACCGCCGCCGGCTGTGGGTATACGATGACGAATGTTTCAATTGACGTTCCAGCGCAGGTAGTCGCAGACCAAGATGGCGATGATTATCCGCGTTTTTGCACGCCTGTATGACTCGGCGTCGGGTCTGCAGGGCTTGTAGCGAGCCTGAGCAGGCATCCATCGCAGCCTTCGACCCCTGTTGGGCCCTGATTGGTCTGATCGCCGATAAAGACCCTGTCAAAGTCGCCTATAAAACCGCTGCAGGAGGAACCGCCGCCCACCATTGGCCGCACTGACCGAACTTTACCGCTAAGTGACTTGCATGCCTGTATTGATCACGTATCAGTGTCTATAAATTTGGTCTGGCCCCTCGCTGGGAGCCAGCGGGTGGTGCCTGCTGGCTGCTTTGTGCGCATCTGTACACCTGCTCGAGGACTTGTTAATTCATCCTGAGCCGGTCGCGCTCAAAGGGAGCCCGGTTGCAGCGGGCGCGGCCCGTCTGAAGTGTATCCAGCCATTCCACTGGTCGGGCCCATAATTTGTGACGGTGTCGCCCGCAGGATCGCCACCGTTGAGTTATTGGGACGGGCCGCGCGCTTCTAAATAGCGCACTGATTGTCACCTTTTGTGGAGCGAGCATGGCTGATCTCATTCCGTTGTCAAAAAATGTCGTCGGGAAAAGGATCACTGCTGGCGATTTGCTCCGGTAAGGATGACGTGATTTCATCGAATGCCTGACTATGAACGAAAGCTCTCAAGTGGAACGTGGTTTTCAGTATTTTCCATTGACCACGAGCAGTACTGAGAAGCTGTAGGGGCATTTGCTGCGCAGATGTTTATTCTACGCGGGCAAATGCCGGAGTATCGGCATGGGCCGCAAAGTAAGCTCATGTTCCTGCATGAGAAGGTAAAGGTGCTGACGTGTTTTCCCCGTAGGACGGGCGATAATACCTGGAAACCAAGTTATTCGTGCCTCAGGTGACAAAATAGTAGAAAAACCGTTCATTAAGAATGGAAGGAAAGAGACTTGTTTCCCGGACATTGTCATGAACACCGATAAAGCAACGCTTTAGCAGGGCCGCTCGGCTAATTGAGCTATCACGGAATTGAGTTTGTCCTCTATGGCTTATGCTTGCCTTCCTCGCGTCTGCTGCCTATGTTCTGGATTCAACTTCCTTGGTTCATCCATAAATGGACGTGTTAGTCGTATAACAAATACTTGTGTGTTTAAGGCCCGTCTCCGTAGAGCGAATTCACGTTCCGTTGGCTTTGGTGTCAAAGAAAATCGTGCCTGACATCCGCCTTCGCAGCCTGGAGCCCTGATAGCAATCGCATTTTTTATGGGCTGGTGGCGTGGCACCATCGTATCCGAGTCATTGTGCTGGCTTGAATACAAAGAAGCGCGGATGAGCCGTCAGAGCCTGGATAGAAGTGATTTGTGAGGCGAGACAGGGGTCCGATGGCCGGCCGAGTATCGCCAAATAGGACTAAACCCACAAAGTGTGAGCGAGAAGCATACCCTAAGGATTTCAAGTATTATCAGATGGCCGAAGCTTTAGAGCGGTACGATGCGCTCACCCCGCGTTGTTCTCGTAGTCTCGCTTTTCTCTGCCCCTGACTGGGCTTCACAGAAGCGTCGGGCTTTACCGTGTTTCTGCCTGCCCCTTCCCGTGACTGGCCCCACAGAGCTGTTGGTCCTAAAGGCGGCTCTGCCTGCCCCTCCCCGTAAGCGGACCCCAAAAAGCAATCGGTCCCGAGGGCAGCTCTTTCCGCCCCTTCCCGTGACCAGAGCCCACAGAGCTGTTGGTCCTAAAGGCGGCTCTGCCTGCCCATCCACCTAAGCGGACCCCAAAAAGCAATCGGTCCCGAGGGCAGCTCTTTCCGCCCCTTCACGTGACCGGAGCCCATAGAGCTGTTGGTCCTAAAGGCGGCTCTGCCTGCTCCTCCCCGTAAGCGGACCCCAAAAACCAATCGGTCCCGAGGGCAGCTCTTTCCGCCCCTTCACGTGACCGGAGGCCACAGAGCTGTTGGTCCCGAGGGCAGCTCTGCCCGCCCCTCTCCGTGACCGGACCCCACAGAGCTGTCCGTCTTGAGGGCAGCTCTGTCCGCCCTTCTGCATGACCGGACCCCACAGAGCTGTCCGTCCTGAGGGCAGTTCTGTCCGCCCCTCTCCGTGACCGGACCCCACAAAACTGTCCGTCCTGAGAGAAGCTCTGTCCGCCCCTTCACGTGACCGGAGCTGACAGAGCTGTCCGTCCTGAGGGAAGCTCTGCCCGCTCTTTCCCGTGACCGGATCCCGCAGAGCCGTTGGGCTTCGCTGCGTCCACCCTGCTGTGCTCGTCAGCCAACGGCAGCACGCCCAGACCTAATTACGCCGCGCTCTTTTGTTCTCGGTGCCGGGAGAGCGGCGCTGGTTCGGTGGAGCCGGCCATTAGAGATGTTTTCAGCGCTGCCGACGAAGCGTGTGCTGGCCAGCCGACGGCGTCTGCCGCGCCCGGACTCCATTGTTGGCGGGCGCCCGGCCGACGCAATCGATCGGGTGCAGCCGCGGTCGGGACGGCGTGCTCACGGGAGCAGGGGCGGCGTGCTCATGGGGGCAGAGACGGCGTGCTCACGGGAGCAGGGACGGCGTGCTCATGGGGGCAGGGACGGCGTGCTCAGAGGAGCAGGGACAAGGTGGTCACGCTCATAGGAGCAGAGACGGCATGCTCACGAGACCAGGGACGGTGTGCTCGGTGTGCGGAACATAATGTTACATCTCCGGCTAGAGAAAATGGAAAACTAAAAATGACTAGAGAGAGATGAGCAATAAAAGATGGTGGGAATCTGAACTAGAAGGAGTGTAAATAACCACTCGAGAAAGAGGCGAGATGTGGAATAACATCAGAACGGCTAGGTTATGGGACCAGATTATCAGGTGCCTGAAGTGGGCGGGGTAGCTACGGCGTAATAAAAACACCAAGAATATCTGCAGACCGAGACTCTGTGAAACAATAACACTGTACACATGTGGCGGATGTACACACACGATGCGCCTTGTCATGGCAGACTAGCCAACGGCGTCCCCCGCCCCCCCCCCCCCCCCCCCCCCCCCGTCACCATCCACAGCCGCCGTCAGTCAACAGGAGTCAGCCAGCCCTGACGGCGGCGGCGCTGTTTGGCCGCGGCAAACACGGCGCGGCGAGTGTGCGCTGTCGTCACGGAGGCGGCCACCTGTGTGACGTCGCGTTTCAGGCGTCGCCGGCTGCCGTCCAGCCGTGACCTGACGGGCGGTCCCACGTCCCCGAGCGGCGCCAGCAAACACGCCGGCCGGCCAGCGCCGCTGTTTGGGAGATGCGGACGACGATAGTCGGGGGGACGGGCGCGGGATGCCGGCGAGACGTGCCGTCGACGGATGCACCCTGCGCGGCCCGGTCGGGGAAACAAACGAAAACAACAGCGTGTCCGGCCGACAACACGGTCATTAGCCGGCCGGAATGTGGCCGACGACGGCCGGCGACATGCGTCGCCTATTAGCCCGGCTGGACCGGGCCCTCACCGGCGGCCCGGCCGGCGTCCGTGAGTGACATATCCGCGCATCGCGCCGGAGCTCCGTCCGGCTGCATTAGGCCGGCGTGCCCCCGCAGCGTGCTGCCATCGAGGATGAGCCCGTGTCTGACGGGGTGTTGTGGATTACACATAATGCTCGCCTCGGTGGCCAGTCTCGCTCGCTATCGGAGCCTGGATCATTTTGTGCAAAGCTTTTCCCTGACAACCGGTCTTGGTGACATGACAGCGCTGGCGATGGCATCGTTTGAAAGCTGCTAGTGTTTTTTAAAAGGCTGTACACCTGTCATGTTTGTTTCACCCAGCGTACACTGGGTCAATATTTCTTCAGCGAATATCCCGTGTTGATGACGCAAGTTTCAACGTTACAACTGATAGCGGCTGGAAAATGCGGACTGAACGTATGAACGAGGTGCGATGTAGTTTGCATAAGCAAGATCGCTACCAACTTGCAGCGCGCCAAACATGTGCGTTTTGTCGCAGCACTGCGATTCAACACCTTACGTAAACGCTTCTGTGAATCACTTC